TTGGTATGATTTTCTTTTAGTTTTATCTATTGCTTTCTATTTTTTTAATTTCCGATTCAACTTTGTTGCAAGACAAGATTTTCAATTTCTTCTTCTTTTTTAACGTTCTCGCTCTTACCTCTCAATTACAGATTAAGATATTAGGAACTTAAAGTTGTTATTCATTTCAGATCTTATATCATGGCAGTTTCATGATCAACAATCTTCATGCTTCATCATTAACGGAGACTTGTTCATCTTCTTGTTATGGTATTTGTTCATTCTTTTATGATTTTCATTCTCTTTTGGATGAACTGAATTCCAATCTCTTGTATGTTTTATTTGTCTCAATCTCAAAGAGAAAAAAATCTAAACCTAATGATGTGATGCTCTAGTAATATTCAAGGGTATAATTGTCATTTTACATAAAAATAGAATTATCATTCTATTTGATATGTAGTTTAATTTTGTATGTATAAAATATTATTTTACTTGTCCATTAAATCCCTTCCACGTGGTTAAATATCAAAATACTAAATATCTTCTGTCTAGAAATTTCCACTCATACCTTTTAATAACACTCCATCTTCTTCTCTCCCAGGCAGTTCATCTTCTTACTGTTGTTTCAAGTTTGTTTATTCTTTTTGTTCTTTCAGTTTCAATAAGTTCATCGTCAATTTTTTTGTTCTTCTCTCATATCTAGATTGTTAAATATTACTTGACCATCCTTCGAGATATTACCACAATGCTTTCTGGCGCATTACTATATTTTTTGTTCTTCTCTCATATCTAGCTAGATTGTTAAGTACTTTTAGTGTTTTATATAAATTTATGTCTATGCGACGCACATGGTGAAGGTCCAAAATTGAGAGAATCCATAAGAATTAATTAAGGAAGGGCAATCTGTTAAATGTTATATCAACTTCTTGATCTTTCTTTCATAATCTCTCTTATATACTTATTCACAACTGTTTCATTGATTTTTCAAAGAATCTCAAAATTTCAGCAAAATAATTCAGTGCCAAATTCAAGTTTTCTTCAATGTAATTTAAGAAGAGAAGATCAAAATTGCACAATTTCATCTTCATGGTTATTAGTCTAGAAACATCTTTGTGTCTGGTTAATCTAGAATAATCGAAGTGAAGATCCAAATTGCACAGCTTCATCTTCTTGAAATCGAAGAGTAGCCTAGAACTTGGTATGCATTTCTTTTAATTTTATCTATTACTTTTAATTTTTTAATCTCTGATTCAACCTTGATTGCAAGACAAGATTTTTATTTTCTTCTCTCTAAACATTCTTGCTCTTATCTCCCAATTAGAGATTAAGATATTAAGAACTTAAAGTTGTTATTCATTTCACATCTTACATCAGGGCAATTTAATGATCAACAAATTTCATGTTTCATCATCAATGGAGACTTGTTCATCTTCTTGATATGATATTTGTTTATTCTTTTATGATTTTTATTCTCTTTTGGATGAACTGAATTTCCATCTCTTGTTTGTTTCATTTGTTTCAATCTAAAAAAAAACTAAACTTAACAACGCAATGCTCTTATAATATTTAAGGGTATAATTGTCATTTTATACAAAGATAGAATTGTCATTCTATTTGATATTTAATTTAATTTTTTATGTATAAAATATTATTTTATTTGTCCATTTAATCCCCTCGACGTGGCTAATATCAAACACAATTACTAAATATCTTATGTCTAAAAAATTTCACTAATACCTTTTAATAACAGTTCATCTTCTCCTCTCCGAGACAGTTCATCTTCATATTGTTGTTTAAAGTTTGTTTACTCTTCCGATTCTTTTAGTTCCAGGTAAGTTTTTCGTCAATTTCTTTGTGCTTCTCTCATATCTAGATTGTTAAATATTTCTTGATTGTCCTTTAATATATTGTTGCAATGGGTTTTGGTGCATTACTATTATTGTTATATAATTTTTACTGCTTTATATTAATTTATGTCTATGCGTCGCAAATGGTGAAGGTTCAAAGTTGAGCGAATCCGTAAATAATTTATTAAGGAAGGATAATCTATTAAATGCTATATCAACTTGTCGGTTTTTCAAACATTCTCTCTTGTATACTTTTTCACAACAGTTCTATCAGTTTTTTTTTCCAGAGAATCTCAAAATTTCAGTAAATAATTCAGACCCAAATCCAAGTTTCCTTTACTGTTGTTCTAAAACAAAAGACCCAAATCGCATAGCTTTATCTTCCTGGTTATTAGTCTAGAAGTATCTTTGTGTCTGATTAGTCTAGAGTAACCGAAGAGAAGGCCCAAATTGCACAACTTCATATTCTTGAAATCGAAGAGTCACCTAGAACTTGGTATGAAATTTTTATAGTATTATCTATTGCTTTTTTATTTTTTCAATTTTCGATTCAACTTTGTTGCAAGACAAGATTTTCAATCTCTTCTTCTTTATGAACATTCTTGCTCTTACCTCCCAATAACTGATTAAAATATTAAGAACTTAAAGTTGATTGTCATTTTACATCTTACATCAGAGCAATTTCATGATCAACAAACTTCATGCTTCATCATCAGTGGAGACTTTCTCATCTTCTTGATATGGTATTTGTTTATTCTTTAATGATTTTCATTCTCTTTTGGATGAATTGAATTTTCAATCGCTTGTATGTTTCATTTGTCTCAATAACAAAGAACAAAAAATCTAAACCTAAAAATGCGATGCTCTTGTAATATTCAAGGGTATAATTATCATTTTATACAAAGATATAATTTTTATTCTAGTTGATGTTTCATTTAATTTTTATGTGTAAAATATTATTTTACTTGTCCATTAAATCCCCTTCATGTGGCTAAATATCAAACAAAATTACTAAATATCTTCCGTCTAAAAATTTCTACTCATTCCTTTAAATAACACTTCATTCTCCTCTCTGAGGTTGTTCATCTTCTTACTATTGTTTCAAGTTTGCTTACTCTTCTGATTCTTTCAGTTTCAAGTAAGTTCTTCGTTAATTTATTTATTCTTCTCTCATATCTAGATTGTTAAATATTTCTTGACTATTCTTCGAGATATTGCTGCAATAATTTTTGAAACATTACTATTATGATTATATAACTTTTAGTGCTTTATATTAATTTACGTCTATGCATCGCACATGGTGAAGATTCAAAATTGAGCGAATCCATAAATAATTTATTAAGGAATGGTAATCTATTAAATGATATATCAATTTCTCTATTTCTACTTTTTCACAATAGTTCCATCAGTTTTTTCAGCGAATTTCAAAATCTCGGCAAAATAATTCACACCTAAATTCAACTTTTCTTCATGATTGTTCTAAAAGAGAAGATCCAAATTGTAGAGCTTCATCTTCATGGTTATTAGTTTAGAATTATCTTTATGTCTGGTTTGTCTAGAGGAACCGAAGAGAAGACCCAAATTGCACAGTTTCTTTGTCTTGAAATCAAAGAGTCGATGATTTCCTTTTTGTTTTATCTATTGCTTTCCATTTTTTCAATTTCCAATTTCGCTTTGTTATAAGACAAGATTTTAAATTTCTTTTTTTTTTTTTGAAAACTGGCGCTCTTACTTCCCAACTACAAATTAATATATTTAGAACTTAAAACTGCAACTCATTTAAGATCTTACATCAGGGCAATTTCATAATCAACAAACTTCATGTTTCATCATCAATAGAGACTTGATCATCTTCTTAATATGATATTTGTTCATTCTTTTATGATTTTCATTCTCTTTTGGATAAACTGAATTTCAGTCTCTTGTATCCTTCATTTGTCTCAATCTCAAAGAATAAAAAAAAAAACTAACAACGCGATTCTCTTGTAATATTCAAGAGTATAATTGACCTTTTATACAAAGATAGAAATGTCATTTGGGAGAAGGGGTGGAAGTAATCAACTGAAAATTTGGTGTTGAACATAGAATCAGACTGTTGAAATTGATATTATTCTTCACCAAATGAGGACTCTTTCGGGGTGTAGCCATAATCAATTTTTTCAAGACGCAAGAACAATTTTGTGTTATAACAAATAATCTTTAGATAATAATTTTTTTTTACAGGAATTTGTTAATAAAGAAATTGATACAAACATATTGTTGATAAGGATGATTTCGAAAAGGATGACAAATAGAAAAAGATGAAAAGAGGAGTAATCAGTGCACATTGAAAATGATGAAAAATAGAAAAAGATGAAAAGTGGAGTAAACAGTGCATCAATATCGATGAAAATATGAGTGCAATTTTTCTCGTGTAACAATGGTATTTATTCGTGTGATGATTAATAAGAGAGAGAAAGTGAGATATTTACTAATTAAAGAAACGTATCAAAATATAATTCTGATTGAGATTCTAAAAAGTAAATAAAATAAAAAGAAAATATGAGTCCAAAAAAATAGTAAATAAATCAGGTAGATCCTTTAAATCGTGTATATTATTATTTTGGGATAATTTTAGAGACCTCTCTACAGGTTCCGCTCTATAACACTCACCTCCCCTATGTTTTAAGATATTTCGTCTACCTTCTTTATTTTGATTTTTTGGTAACCATTCCTTATATATATTTAAAATAAATATAAATTAATTATAATTTGACATATTTACCCTTTTTTATACTCCCTCTGTCCCAATTTATATGACTCACTTTCCTTTTTAGTCAGTCCCAAAAAGAATGACACATTTCTATTTTAAGTAACAATTTGCCTATGAAATGTCTTTTTTACCCTTAATGAAATGATTTACAACCACACAAATTTCTATCATTCATTTTGGACCACAAGTTTTAAAAGTCTTTCCATTTTTCTTAAAGTTTGTGCCAAATCAAAGTACATCATATAAAATGGGACGGAGGGAGTATTTGATTAATATTGAAATGAAACTATCCATTTCATCGAAACCCGATCTATATGAGAATAAAGGAGAAATGAAGAAGAAATCATGCATATGATCATGCAAATATACATATAGAAAACTTACAACAAAAGGTACAAAAATCACTAAACAAAAACATTACATATACCTAATTAAACACACTATAAATTCAAAATACTCAAAAACAAAAAACATTATAAATATTATCATTTCAACTTTTTCTCTTCTTTAATTTCCATATCAATTTTTTTTTTCTATTTTTCATATTCTAAGAAGAAAAATACTGAGTTCAGGTCCTCCATTACCATCCGGATTCATCATATAAAAAGCTTCCGAGTCACGACTCCCTACAACTCGTTCAAATTTCGCTCTCATATACAACAACTCACCTTCCGCCGCACTAATTTTCCGGCCATCATCCACCACCGGAATTACTCCGGCGCCGACGGAAACACTCTGCACCGTACTCAACACATGCCAATCGGAATCCGTACATAACCTCGATGTTGCATACCCACATTTCCTCCCGTTACAATACATCGTCCACATCGGCTCTTCAAATAGCCCTAATCTCTTCCGGCTACTCCCCAAACAAATTGGGTATGCAACCCTTCTCTGTCACAATTCTTTTCCAGCAACATAACCTTGTTCCTCCTAAAACCAAGAATAGAGCTTCGATATGCTATCATAATTTTTGTGTTAGTTTGAGATCTACCTGCTACTCATTACTGATAATATCATATTTATTAAAGCCTAATTGAATCTAAAAACATAGACATTAATCGTCCTACTTGATGCTCGTCCTTTTAATTTTTTATGGTTAATATCAGATCACCTAATTTTCAAACATATGGGAGATGTTTTTGAGTATTAGAAGTGAAAAAGAGATGAATTGACTTAGCCATTGCAATCAATAATTATATCGTTGCTTTCGAACTTACAAATTTGATTGCTTTGAGAAATCAACAACTTCCTCTGTTATTGATCTCTCATGCATGCTTAGATCTAATATAGGATGATTTTATCTCTATTTCCTAAATCATTTTTCTTTCTTAACTAGCGGAAATATTTACGTAAACTAAATTAACCGTTCTCATCTAATTTCTTTCCCGAGGAGTCCATTTTCACCTTTGATTTGAAGAAATCACCCATGAATTGGCAAGATGAAGATGAAGATGATGAGTTAATGTTTGGTGAAAATAATAGCTTAGCGTGAATTAAATCACCAGTGGATTAGTTCACTTTATTTGCACACCTTCAAACTTTGTTTGGTAAAATGAATATGTGTATCTATATATTAATTTATCTGTGTTAGTTTTTTTTAAAATTATTTATTAAATAAGTCATTTTTAATAATATGTTTTAATATGAAGAAACTATTATAAAAAGAGGTAAATATGTCAAATCATAATTAATATATATTGATTTTAAATAGATATAAAGAATGGTTACCAAAAAATCAAAATAAGGGAGGTAGACGTAATATCTTAAAACACAGGGGAGGTGAGTGTTATAGAGCGGAACCTGAAGGGAGGTCTCTGAAATTATCCCTATTATTTTTTAATAATTTTTCATGTTTATAAATAAAATGTTATTGTTGTAAATTAAAAGGTTACAATAATATTATGTAAATTATGGTCTTAGAATGTATATTATTGTAATTTTTTCTTTTTTATGTATAAAATATTCTTGTCCATTAAATCTCCTCCACGTGGCTAAATATCAAATACGATTACAAAATATTTTCTGTCTAGAAATTTTCACTCATACCTTTAAATAACACTTCATCTTCTCCTCTCCCAAATTGTTCATCTTTTTACTGTTGTTTCAAGTTTGTTTACTCTTCTGATTCTTTCAGTTTCAGGTAAGTTCTTCGTCAATTTCTTTGTTCTTCTCTAATATTTAGATTGTTAAATATTGTTTGACTATCCTTCGAGATATTGCTGCGATGATATTTTGTGCATTACTATTATTGTTATATAATTTTTAGTGTTTTTTATTAATTTACGTCTATGCGTCGCACATGGTGAAGATCCAAAATTGAGCGAATTCGTAAATAATTTATTTAGGAAGGGTAATCTATTAAATTTTATATCAGCTTCTCGATCTTTCTTTCACATTTTCTATTGTATAATTTTTCACAACAATTCCATCAATTTTTTCAGAGAATCTTAAAATTTCAGCAAAATAATACAGACTCAAATTCAAGTTTTCTTCATTGTTGTTCTACAAGAGAAGATCAAAATTGCACAGTTTCATCTTCCTAGTTATTAGTCTAGAAGCATCTTTGATTTGGTTATTCTCAAATAACTAAAGAGGAGATCCAAATTGCACAGATTCATCTTCTTGGTATCGAAGAGCCGCCTAGAACTTTGTAGTTTTTCTTTTAATTTTATCTTCTAATTTCTTCTTCTTATTTATGAACATCCTCGCTCTTACCTCCCAATTAGAGATTAAGATATTAAGAACTTACAGTTGTTATTCATTTCAGATATTACATAGGAGCAGTTTCATGATCAACAAACTTCATGTTTCATCATCAATGTAGACGTGCTCATCTTCTTGATATGATATGTGTTCATTCTTTTATGATTTTCATTCTCTTTTGGATGAACTGAATTCCAATCTCTTGTATGTTTCTGTAATATCTTGCAAATTGAAATAACTATGAAGAAGCTTATAATTGGAAATAGTCATTTTTGGAAAGAATACAAAATCTGGAAATTTAGTTAAGTATGGAAAAAAATGAGTTTTGGGTCAACTTCAAACAGTCATAACTCCTAGATCAGGATGAGTTAGGTGTATTTCCAGTTATGTTTAGAAAGCTCTTGGAATGATCTTTCCAACGCCGCTGAATTTGCTAGATTCCGAGTTCGTATGAGTGAGTTATGCCCTTTGGAAGTTGGGATGTTGGCATAAGGAAGTTCAATCCGAATTTTTAAGGGTAGTTTGGTCTTTTCCCTAACCTTTTCTTTTGGATTATATTAAGGGTCTAAGCTGATTTTAAATCAGTTTTCCCTTTTAAAAGTGAGAGTTAGGGTTTGAGAGAGAAGAGAGAAAGAAGAGGAGAAAGTGAAGAAGAAGCAATGTTCGTCAAGATCATCGTGGATTTCGTCGGGGGTGATCCCTATTAAGGTATGTGAGAGCATATAGTGTAGGGTTAGTTCATCCCCCACACGCCAAACTTGTTTTAATTCCGAAAAAAAGATTGGTTGTGTTTGTTGAATTCTCGTGGTTGTGTTGAAGTTTCTTGTTGATTTGGTACATGTTTCCGGATGGAATTTCGAGTTGAATCTATTGTATGTTGACGGTTTTAATGATTATGAGTGTTTAGGGAAAGAACCTTTGTTGTTGAGAGGGTTTAGAGTTGAAGAAACTAAGGAGAAAAGTCAGATTTTCTGGGGAAAAGGCTGGGGCGTCGCGCCAGCCAGCGCTCCCCAAAAGGGACTCTGAAGTTCCCCCATTGGGGCGGCGCGCCAGTGCGCCCAGCAGACCTTCTGGAATTTGAGGGCTGACACACTGCGCCTCTCAGAGCGCCAAGGACTCCAATCCTCCCCATTCCTTCTGTAACGACCCGAGAGCACCCCCTAGTCGTTATTGGCGTATTCGACCTCTCGGAGGTCTTATAAAAGCCCTTAGCATTCGTCATAGCATGTATCATAGAAAAATAGAGGAAATTTAAAACTTTTTCATAATATAACACAAGACATAAAAGTCACCTCATTAAACCTTTAATACAAAATCGGAATACTACGTCTTAAGGTAGCCATCTTAAAACATGACTACAACACAAGAGGGACACAGCCCTTACAAT